ACACGCATGATCAGAGGTCAGGAAAACAGACCTTACAACAACAGGCTGAGAGCCATGGGGCTCTTTAGCCTGGAAGACCACAGGCTCAGGGGTGATCTGATGGCCACGTATAAGTTTATCAGGGGTGACCACCAGTATCTGAGGGAACATTTGTTCACCAGAGCACCCCAAGGGATGACAAGATCGAATGGTTATAAACTACTGCAAGACCATTTCAGGCTGGACATAGGGAAGAATTTCTTTACTGTCCAAGCCCCCAAGGTCTGGAACAGCCTGCCATCAGAGGTGGTTCAAGCACCTACATTAAACACCTTGAAGAGTAAATTGAATGCTTATCTTGCTGGAATCCTATGACCCCAGCTGACTTCCTGCCCTTCGGGTGGGGGGTTGGACTCAATGATCTTCCGAGGTCCTTTCTAGCCCTAATGTCTCCGAAATCTATGAAATCTTTGTAATTCCCTGTGAAATAATGTTACAGTACTTATTAGCTTATAGCAATTGTGCAGCGTTGTATTTAAGTAAAACACGTGACACATACAGAAGAATAAAGCATTTTGTGGTTGGTCTGCATTGTTCACTGTGTTTCCTTCCATATCTAGACTGCCTCGTGTTGTGCCTACTTCAGCATGAAGTGGTCATTCTAAATGGATTATTTCACATATTTGGAGCGATCCAACATGTTTACAAGGTCTCCTATTTAGAGTTGCTATCATGGCTCATCTGCTTCTTAGGAGACTGACTATTGTCCATGTATCTCCATTAGTTATGGTAGTTACTGAAGGTGTCTCTAGGGTAAAGCCACTATTTAAGTACCACTAGCCAAGAAATTACATTCCATGAATGACAGAGAATTTTGGATCCCCATGCCATAGTGGAATAGAAGCTGCCCATCCACATGCAGTTACTTTTCCTATAAATACATTTAGCAAGCTACACTAATTTTTGCCTTTACCAATATTGTAGCAGTGTTATGGCAGTGCTCATTCCTAAATTATTGCAGTTTATTAAATGGGAAAAAGTTCAATAGGGTCTTATCCTTTTCTTCCTGCTAGTTGATCTTCCTGCCCCTTCAGCATCAAGCTATGCTGATCATTAAAGTGTGGTGCAAACTTTCTCATCAATATAAGATTTAATTTTTTTCCTTGAGGAGCTCCGAAGCACTTGATGAAAAGTGTAAATAGTTTTAGTCAATTCATGAAAGCAAAGTACACAGTCAAATCAATGGATTACTAGGAGCACAAGCCTAGATTCCCAGGCACATTTAGTCATCTAGCTGTACTCAAATACCGTTGAAGATCTACACTATTCTGACTAGGCTGTCTAGACTTGTCTGTTTCATTTGTCATTATTGAATAGATAAATAAAAGGTTAAGTATATTTTAGGACTGCAGGAAAAGTCCTGAAACTAATTTCTATGTACGAATTAATTTTGTTCTCAGGACATTCCAGAAAGATTATTCAACTGGGAGCTAATGGTAAAAATGGTTGATTCTGTAAAATCACGTCTAGAAGAAGAAAGTAAATGTAGATTTAATGCTGTGTCAAACATATTGGACCATTTAACCATAAAAAGCAGCCTCTCTGTTAGACAGAAGGAAGATCTTTTAGCAGAGTTGCACAAAGCTTTCTGGGAACAAGTAACACATTACAAGAATGGTGAGTATCCCCTGACTTTCATCTTTAAAAGGCATTAACTTTGATACTTTGATTTATTAATTGTCGCATTTTTGTCGAACAAAACATTAGCAACATGTGAAGTATTACTGAATTAAAACTGTGCTAGAGAATAAACTAGGAATAGCGTTCTTAGAAAAGTAGATGAGCTGGTGGTTAGAACAGAAAACTTTGGCTCAAAGTCTCCTAGCTCTTGTTCTGGGTTTGTGACTTGTAAAAAATGGGGAGATTATAGTTTAAAGAAGAAGTCACATCTCCCTCACCAAGTATTTGTGAGGCTTTCTATTTTAACTCAACTCAGGGGTGGGCAGTTATTTTAGCTGGCAAGCCACTTAACAAGTTTTTGTCAGCTGTCTAGGGCCACATATGCAAAACCTTTCAGAACATATCATTTTAACAAATTATGGATAAAAAACCATATACTAAAAACAAAACCAAAAAAACCCCCAAACATCTACTATAAAATATTTTAATTTGTTTTTAAATAGTATTTGTCCTGATTTGAATAGTGTATATAGAGGTAATTGCATAATAGCTCAAAATAAACAGAAACAAAAAACTGTATTTTCTTGCACCCAACCCCCCTGGGAATATGATACACACCTTGTTTTTGAAAGGCTGAAAGAAGGGGGAGGGGGTGAAATCTTTTCTTGTAGTAACTGAGAAGCAGTAGCTCAGGAATAGAGTCTATTCACTGTTCTTCTCCCTGCGAGTTGCATGCAGGTTTTGCTTTTAATTTTGCCAATAATGGCAGAAACTGTTCTTACCATATTTCTTGAATACAATATGCACCACAGTTTCTAGCAGGTGGGTTTTTTGTTTGTTTTGTTTGTTTGTTTTTGTTTTTTAAGAGGAGAGAGTGTTGTATGCAAGAAATTAACACAATAACTTCTCCTCAACCTCTTTTAAAAGAAGCCTTTAGTTCATTTCTCTCCAGCTCTGAAACTGAACGGGGCTTTTATCTTGATTTTCTTCTGGGAATTTTTTAAAATAGTCTTTGATCTTTTTGTTTTTAACTTCCACACCTTCCCATGTTATTGTTAAGCAGTAAATCTGTGGCTTAAAGTACCTCATCACATTTGAGGCCTGACTCAATTGCTCATTGAGGTCAATTGGAAGGTTTCCATTGGCTTTGATGGGTATTGAATCAGGATCTTATTCATAGTATTGGAGGAGTTAATGCCTTTGTGTAAAATCATAGTAAATGTTCAAAACATTAGTGATGTGTGAAATGTTTGTTTCTCATCAACTACAGGATCTTAATTTGAAGTAAAAAGTATTCAGAGCAATATGTGGATTCACAATTCTCAGTATTTACAATAGAGGTCAAAATATATTCAATACTAAAATTCACTAGGGTTTGAAGTTACTTGCTTGAGAACAGTATACAGCACTGTAATCAGTTTCTTGGGTAGATGATAAAGCGTGTAATGTAATGGGTATTTTTATTTATGCAGAACATTTGGTTAACCAAATAGGGAAAAATCCACTTGTCCCACCCATAGAGTAAAGCAGCACAGAAAACCATATTTGGATATAAATCCTTGCAGTCAATTTTTGTTTCTTTAAAAAGTGCTCTTGGGCAAGGAACTCACTGTGCGAGCACAAAAATGTTGATTCTTGCATCATATTGGTTTTCTTAGGACAAGTGCTGCTTTAGCCGTTCTATTGGCATGCTGTCAGTGTCAGAGCTTCAAGAACAGAGTTGTCTGAAAGTAATGTTCTCGTTGGAGAGCAATTCAGACTCCACTAGGTTAGAATTTTAAACTGTATTATGTCTCAGGTCAGCAATTCCCATTCTGCAGGTTATGTCCTCTGTAAAAATGTTGACTAGTCTTATGAACTAATAGTTTAATCAAGGGTTTAACAAGCACCCTGTGCATTCTTTAAGTATACATGGTTACCTCGTAGCCATTGTGAATATTCACAAGTTTATAGTTTTTAAGCTTTAGCTATGTTTATTACTTTTTGTCTCAGATGTTTCTATTTCAAGGTAGACAGATATTAGAAGGACTTTGTTTTAGACCAGCTAGATACTTTTTACTCATGTGAAGTAAAACCTGTACAAGTTTGCACTTGTTCAACCTTGCGTCTTGAAAGAAGTCAAACTTACTGCGTGCAAGCAATATAGCCCCAATTAATCAACTCATTTATTATGTAAGTCCCTTGAGCCACTGCTTAAAGTTCTACACCTTAAACTGAAAAAAAAACCCACTACCTAAAATGCATGCATCAATTTGTAAATTTATACATCCTTCCTTTCCTTTTTTGTGTCCTTGGTACAAGGATTTAGCAGAATTCACAGATTCTTTAGGATCCAACAGGGCTGTGCCATGAATACTTCTGCTGTGGCTGCAAACTTGTGACCTCTGAGCGGTCAACTGTGCACCTTAGCACCCAAGCCACCTCATTTTTTTAAACATTATTCAATCTTACATTATTCTTGTTTTTTCCTTAGAAATACGTCGCTGTCTGCATTCAATTCAAAAGTTATATCTAAAACATGTTTTAAAAGTATGTTTAACTCTTCCAAGGTCATTTGTAAACTTGTTATAGAAAAAAAAACCCCCAAACACTGACCTAGAATT